ATACCACACGTCCACACATAACATATGCAGACTCACGTTTTCAAGCCATCACCAAGAACACACTTTTTGTTCTGCTTTTCCATCTTTGGTGTGTTGTTTCCTTCTTTTTTTTGGGATTGCTGCTTTTTTGATTTTCGGGTGAAATCGCAATGTTGCTGTGTGTAAAACTGTTTCTTGTTCGTTTTCCCGTAAAGTTTGAACTTTAGAGGATCTTACGTTGTTGACCAAAAAAAAAAAAAAAATCTTACGTTAACTGTATTACGGTCGGATTAAACTCTTGCGGGTGATCCATTCCCATCGAAACTAAATTAAAGGAAGCACTTGTCCAAGTCTATCTTTGGATTGCTTTGCTTATCTTTCTGTTGCGTTTCTGTTATGAATAATTTCTTTTTATACAGTCAAATCTGTCCGTGGCTGTGGCCTGTTATGCATTTATCACTAAAGCACAGCAAGTGTTCGACCATTTGTCCCAATTACCTCTGTTTAAGATGTTTGTTAAATTAGAAAACTAGAGACGTAGCATAAGTCAAATGTTAGAAATCGACCATGTACAATGAATGCATGATCAGATTAAGGTAATTTATGATTATCTTTTACAATTCTGATATTTCCCTTTAAACTTTTTACTCTATTAGGCATTCAGTTCTTGTAACCTGAAGGAGCACGCAGCTTCCTGGAACTTGCGCTGCAAGAAGAAAAAGAGCTTCTACAGTGAACATTAGTGCTTCAAAAGCAAACCCATGACGCAATGTGACGGTCTTTTCTTCAGCTTTTTCTTGTTTTTGCTTGCTACTTTCTTCACTCGTTTTGCTTACATGGTAAGATTTGAAGGTGAATTTCACCGATTGAGGCTTTAATCTCGGAGTGGCTTCTTTGCTTGGCGGTGCTGCTTTGGGAGCTCCAGTTTCTGAGATTTTGAAACTGTTAATCGAAGTGGCCAAGAAAGTGAAGCACTTCAAACCACTGTCTCAGGATCTCGCGTGGACGATGGAGAGATTTGGTTTTCTTTTCGAAGAGATAGATTCGATGCAAGGTGGTGGAGCTCAGGCAGGGATGAACTAAGTCTCTGTTCCAAACGACCAAAAAAGATGAAGAAATGGTTCGTAAGTGTTCACGCGTCCAGTGGTACAGTATTGCCAAGAAAGCTTCATCTACCAGAGAAATCAAAGAAATCAATCAGGAGATTCTCAGGTTCTGTCAGATTGAGTTACAGTTTATTCAGCTTAGGAACCAGTTGCAGTCTAAGCTTTCGATGGAAAGCGTGACTAGGAAAATCGACCTATTGAGTGATAGAGGGTAGGAATGTAGAAAGCTTTGTCTAATACCACAGCCCGAAGAGGCTACAAGTTTTTTGGTTGGATCGGCCATTGTGGGAGCTAAAGAAGATGCTTTTTAAAGACGAAGTGGTTACTGTTGTGGTGTCTGCTCCTTCTGCCTGCGGGAAGACCAAGTTGGTTACAAAGCTTTGCCATGATGCAGATGTTAAAGGTACACAACGAGTCTTCGTTTTCTATGCGATTTCTCTTGGAATATTACATGCAGAGAAGATCATGTTATCTTTGTTGTTTCTCATGTGGGAGGCTTGATCTCAAAAGGACACTTTGCTCCAACACAAATCTCTTATCTCCCTTATTAATCTTCATGCCCACTTTTAATGAAATATATGTGATCGGACGAAAATACCCTTGGTATCATTTATTAAAAATAAAAGAAATCAGGGAGAGAGGAACGAGAACGACACTTAGAATCGCGTCGACATTGAGCTCTCGCCGAAAAACAAGGTTTCCGTCACCGTCGAGCTCTCTCAACTCAATCGCCGCCGTTTCTTTGCCTCCGCAGATCTGCATTGAGCTCTCCTTAAAGATCCAGGTCCGTTCTTCGGCTTCTTTCTTCAGCTTTTTGTCTCGCCGAAAAACCTGCTTTCCGCCGCCGTCGAGCTCTCTCAACTCAACCGCCGCCGTTTTTTTGCCTCCGTGGATCTGCATTGAGCCAAGATCTAGGTCCGTTCTTCAATTGATTTAGTTTTAGATTTGCAAATTGAGGGATTGAATTGGATTTGATTATGCA